GGGGGGGGCGGGATCGGGATCCGCGATGGGGATTCTGCGTCTCCCGCGGCCGTCCCGGCGCCGAGCGCCGTCTCTTTCCCGCTAGCTCCTGTCCGTGGGAGGCGATGCCCTGCGCCTGCTCCCGGGGCCGCCCAGGCCTCGCGGTCCCGGTCGCCTCCGGGCCGCCACGTTCCCCGCACCGCTAAGTGCACCCAAAGTTTGACAGATCTCTGCGTCCCTCTGAAGCAGTGCCGAGTGTTTGACATGATACATTATGATAATCCATAGTATAGAGACATTAACACAGGGGTCTTTGACAAAATACATTGTAATGTCTCAGAAGGAGCCATTACAATTTATCTTGTCATTCTAGAGCATAGAGTGGCTGCAACGTTAAGATGGCTCTGCATAAATTCAGGTGGAGGCTCTTTCATTTGATTTTGGGGGATTTTTTTTTCCTAGTGAAAAGGCACAGTGCAATTTGTCACTTAACCCTTCCCTGTCCCTGCTTCCCAAAAGGAGTGTTTCCATCTTTCCATGGGGAAGCTGTGCGGGCGGCTGGACAGTGCATCCATGTTCCCTCTGGATGCGTTGGGAAGATGGTGTGTGTAGTGCCTAGGAAATGCAGCTCTCCGTGTGCTCTGAGCCAGGGCTTCTCATTTAGCAGCAAACACCAACCCCACTTCTAAGACAGACGTGAATGATCTTTATCGCAAGTGAGGGAGCGTGTTCCTGAAGGAGCAAATAGAAAAGGGAATACTCCCGGGAAACAGGAAAAATGCTCAGTGCTTGGGGAGTTTCTTCCTCTCCAGAGCTTATCCAGCTCACGGCTGGCAGCGGGATGCGGCACGGAGAATCCAGATCCCTGGGAAGAGGAAGGGGCTTCCGGTCCCCCGGGGCGGGCGGATTCCCAACCCTGGGAGCTGCCGCCCTTCCCGGCAAGCAGCCCCGTGCGGGCAGGATCCGCGGAGGGAGCTCGTCACCGCGGGCCCCAAGTGGGAGCTGGATTTACAGCACCGGGGACTGAAAGGTCAGAGCGGGAACCATTAGAGTGTTGAGGCAGCTCCAGCTACATAAGTCTTGAATAAAATTAATACCAAAAAATTGACAAGTTCTTAGCCAGCTGTGCTATGGCTTTAAGACCTCTACTAAAATTCTACCATCTTGTCTGCCCATGATTAAAATTGCAGCAAAATATAAAGTTTTCATTAATCTCCTGCAGCAAATTTAGGACTCTGCACTGGCAGTTGATTCAGCTTTTAGGACCACATTAGCAGGGGTATTAAACAAAATGTGTCATTCTTCAATATCTTCTGTAAGAAGCTAGATCAGTTTTTAGCCGTATTTATACCACTTTCTCTAACAGCATCCAAATGATCATTGAGAGCTGAGATGCTTTATTAGCAGCTGGCATAGAAATTACTCTGTGCAAAATTATATATTGCATTGTAGTAATGTTTAAATTGGTGTTAATCCAACGTCATAAAATGTAAAAATCTTTAAAGTGTGTTATATTTTTTCAGTAATTGGCATTTTGGCTTAATGAGATATTACCTTTTATAAAGCTAGCACCTGCAGTAGTACGGAGAATACCAATCAGTAAATAAAGTGTGTTCTTTGCCACCGGCCTGACATTACAAGGAGAAAGGGGCTGCGGATGCTCAGTAAGATGATGGTGCTGGGTTAAATCCGCCGCAGGGACACGTGCTGCATCCCAGGAGGCCGGGCGCATCCCCAGGGCACGTGGGGCATCCCGGACACATCCCCAGGGCACGTGCTGCATCCCGGGGATGCCGGGCGCATCCCCAGGGCACGTGCTGCATCCCAGGCACATTCCCAGCAGGACTGGCTGCAGGGCAGGGGGCCAGCAGGAGCCCTCCCTGGTGGCCCTGGGGCGCCCCCGGGACGTTGCCTGGTTCTGCATGCGGGATGCAAGTTTATATTGAAAGGCCTGGTGAAGACCTAATTGTTGGGGGATTGGAAGGAACGTGAGAATTTCACTCTCCAGACACATGGACTCGGAATGTTTTGTTCCTTCTCAAGCAAATTAGCAAGCAATCCTCATGGTTTATGTCTAAAATCTTCCTGCAAGCTGCAGTTGCAAGCACCATAACCCTAGTCATATCCTAGCTTAATTGTGTGCCGTATTTGAAACCCGTTGTTAATTATTGTGCGGTTGTTTTGCAGGTTCAAGAGGAGAAGAGATCTCGGAGGAGGACCCTCAAATCGATATTGCCACGGTCCAGGATATGCTCAGTAGCCACCATTACAAGTCCTTCAAAGTCAGCATGATCCATAGGTTTCGATTCACCACTGATGTTCAGTTAGGTAAATCAATCGGTGCTGTAACGCGGAGGAGACGGCGGCAGTTCAGCCCTTGGGTGTCCCCTGCAGCCAGCTGTCTGTCACAGGCATTTTTAAAGCAATCCTCGTCTTGTTGGTCTGTTTACAGTGGAGCACCTCCCCGAGAGGGGCTGCCGGCGTCTCCGCAGGTGAACAGATTGCGTTCAGCTGAAAACCCTGGAGTGCTTTTATTATCCCCAGCCAGCTAGCATGGGTTTCTTCTGCAAGGAGGCCATTACTTAATGACCCCATCTTCCTATTTTATTTTAAACCGGGCTTCCTAATGGAAAGCTGCTTGCCAACTGTTTTGTTATTTCGAAATGAGGCTGTGCGTAGTTAGGATGAGGTTTCTTCTCTTCTGAGGCTGAAAGATTGTCATGACCAAGTGGGATTTTGAGATGGAATAAAAGATAGCTAGTGTTCTCTAAAGGTTTTATATTGTCCCTATTAGCTTTGTGAATGCTTTTGAAAACCCGAAGGCCAAAGGATGACAGAATCTTGAATTATAAAAGCCCCATTACTGTTTTAAAATGATTGAATGGCTTTTTATCTTTGTGTTAAAATTGTGAAAATTTGATTAATGATGCATTGGTAAGTGACCTGTGACATTCCTGCAAATACCTTCCATAAAGAAATGACACAGCAGTAGCATAGTAAGAACTGAAATGTTTACAAAATATGTTTATTCTGTAGAATTCTTTAGAAATGTTAAATTCTAGCACTTTATGTATTATTGTCACCTCACTCTTTTCCTTATTCCACCTTTACGGACGTGTGTGTCTGTAAAGTTCGTACACGGGAGACTTTTGTTTATTTTGAGCTGTCTAGTTAGGGAAGGATTTATATGTCGGTGTTGAAGCAGGACAGCGTTGGGCATGTTTTCTGCTTTTGAGCAAACTATCTGAGTGTGATAGTTTGCTTCCAGTGACGTTTGACTCACTGTATCTGGAAGCTGTCAGAAATGAGAGCTTGAAAAGGTCATGACAGATCGCTAAAGATAAATGGTTAAGGGAGAAGAGCTGTTAAACGAAACAAATGGCCTAACTTGTTTAGTAGTGAAGAGCTGACCCTGTCCACTAGTGTAAGGACCATAAAATCTCACTTTTATTACACCCTACAAAATGGTGTGTTTTTGATGGCAGTGCAGTGACAATGTGATTTTTATATTCTAATTGTTTTTTTACAAAGCAGAGCCCCCCGGCGAGGTACCAAGGTCTGGGCGAAGGGGCAGCGTCCAGGGCGGCGGGGCTGCGTTCCGGTGGTTTCCGGGCGGGTTTTTGCTGCCGGAGGAGCTGCTGGCGCCGGGGAGCTGCAGGGCTGGATGCTCTGCTCTGCTCAGTGTGCTGAGAGCGCCGCGGGCTGGGACGGCGCCTGCGCGTGCAGGAGGGACCTCGGGCCTCTCCGCCCGGGCACGGCCCTGCTGGACGGCAAAGGGAGTTGGGCAGGTAACGGGGGGACGAGCGAGCGCCCGGCGAGTGCTGGGGCTCCCTGCAGCCGCAGCGCTAGCCAGAGCCCCGCGGGGCTGCGGTTTGGGTTTAGCTCCTGTCGCACTGCAACGCACACGCGCTGCTGTTGTGGTATTTCCACCCGCGTTCAGGCATGTTCTGAAGGAAGAAGACACATTCGCGTATGCACCACGTTATCAAAATTAAAGGAAGCTTGTAGCCTGGAAAACTGCTGCCAGACAGTATTTTGGCAAAGGAGAAGGGGGGGCAGTTGCAGAAGCAACAAAGGAAGCAAGAACAGAGCAGTGTTACTGGTCTGCAATAGCAGTGACATTTCTTTTGATAAAATGAATGAATTAAGAATAGTAGAGGAAGCATTTTCACTTGATATTTTTTAGAATGACTAATTTGTACTATGATAGAGAGTGTATAAAAGCCACATGGAATATACAGTTCTGATTCTAGGTTTAAACACATACTGATTGTGAGAACAATAACACAAAAAAGACAACATTCTTTGTCAGCGTGCTCTTTGGTTGTGTGTGAGCTAAAGCTAGTGATGTCGAGATAAAGAAATAATGGATGAAGTATACAGCAACAATTTGCAGATAAAAATAATAGAAGTTAAAGTGTATTTTACATGATAAAAAAAGATGAAAGAGGAGGAAGTCTGTTACATCTGAGATGGTTACAAAATCCATGCTTGGTGAAGTAGCCTCTGCTGAAAAGATTGATGCAATGGGGAGTGACCTTGGCTTGGAGCAGGAGCTGGTGATGTATGTATGAGCATCTCTCTGCTAAATGGACCCAGATTTGTAGCACTAATATACATGGAAGCCCAGAACCAAACTCAGGATGGCAATAAATCAACAGCCACTTTGGGTGTCATTTCTGGTTTATATTCCACTATTGTTCTATCACTTTAATTCATGTCACTATCATCTGTTCATCTGGAACAGTTTTATATAATTTTCCAGTGGAGTTACCTGACAAATCCTATCAAATTAACAAGGTACATTAACAATATTGATTGACTGTGAATTCTGAACTTGTAGGGCCATACAGTGAACATTTTAGAAGGATATGTCCAGCGGTGGATTTTTTTTAAGGAACGGATAGGGGAAAGGATTATTTACACACAGGGGATTCGCACATTTATTTTTAGAACTTGCCTTGACTTTTTCCAGTAAGAAAATACGAACTTGTATCAGTGACTTGCTGTATTTTTCTTAACCTGCAGAAAATGCCATTTTGAATAATTAACTATTACAGTGAAATAACAAAGCCCGTTTAAAATAATCTGTTGAAAATTAAATTACAGAACAAAACGGACTCCAGATACCCCATCAGCCTGCTCAAATTGCCTAGTTTGAGTAGTCCTCCTATTAATTGGACTCTTGATACAAGGTTTAATTGAAATGTGATATCTCTGATGTGACGTATGTTTAATGACAAAGTGCGTTGTTGGATTAATGGAGGAGGAGGAGGGGAATTTCTCTGGCCCCTGTTGCACCAGCCAGGGCTGGGCTGGAGGTCGCGTTGCTGCGCGCGGGGCTGCGCTCGGCGCGGTGTCACCTGCGCGTGGCCCCTTGTGCTGCTCAGGGCACAGCTCTTACAAGGCTGTTCTCAGCACCCGTAAGCTTTCCTGTGCTTTGGACGAGGCAAGGATAACGTATTCCCAAGTGTCGTAGCCAAAAGCCTCAAGAGGGATAAGGTTACCTCAGAGATGCAGGAGTTACATGGTGTTTAAATACTTTCTGCCTCTATTGCTTCCTTTTTTTTCCCCACTTTGTCATGAGTTTCACCTGTAACTCATGACTTATAAATGTAATTACCTTTAAGGCTCCACACATCTCGGTATAAAAGCACAACGAGAAGTTTGTTCAGCCGCGTCAACAGATGCTCACAACAGTGCCCTGTTCCGAGCGCGGTGGGACCGGCCTCGCTTCGCGCTGCCCTCGCGGAGACGCCCGTGAATCCCCCGCGTGTCCCGGGCAGAGTCCCGTTAACGGCCAACTTTCCGCCTGCTTCCAGAGTCCCGGATCAGCGGGAAGGCCGTTCCCTCGCAAGAGCAGGAAGGGCGTTCGGAGCGGGGCCGCAGCGAGCTGAGGGTTTGCGGCTGTGCCTGCTGCGCGGCCCG